ACTGTAAATATTGATATGCATATGTCTATACTAACATCAAAGCTATGCCTCAAGGCGGGGGGCAGATTGAAGATAGAATCAATAAAAGGGTCAAAGTCTTTGGGAAAAAATATTAGTGGAATTTGATCACTTTCCAAGTGAGAGACAAAAATTCATTCATTAATCCCATGTCCAATGTTTCTCATTGTAAAATAGGTCCTTTTACGATTTAGCTTTCATTCATGTAAGTAAGCATAACCTAATTTCAAAAACGAAAAATACATAACCTAATTTCCACAAAAATTTAATTAAAAAATTGAAATATATAAAGAATAGAGAAGAAGCAAGAAGAAGCACATTGGAGAGAATATGAAAAAGAGAGAGAGTGAGATAGATGGATACCTGGAGAAGAGTGAAGAAAATAACCTGTGGAGAAGATAGCAGAGAAGAACCCTAGGGAGAAGAAGATAAAAAGAGCGTATGATTTTTTTTTTGTAGAAACCGTGCTTAGCCGTATAATTAAGCGTGTATTATCTAAACCGGGGTGTGTGGGTTGTATTAGTTAGTCAGGTAAGGAGAGTATTAAAATCCCAACCCGTATAAAATAGTCGGGTAATTAAATAATACAAGTTGATACCAAACACCTGACATAGATTATTTACTCTTATCCAGAGTCTAATACGGTGTACCAAACGAGCCCTTACTAGCTTGTGTAGGTGTTTTTATCAAGCATATTAAGAAGTAGATCACCAAACACTAAAGCCGAACTTCATTTTTGCCTTCCTTGGGTACCTTTTCCACATTGTATCGGACCAAACACTAAAGTAATTAAATAGGGAGCTGCACTCTTATTTTATTCACTTACACTCCATTTGTTAAAAATTGTATGTTCTCACTTATCTTTTGTTCACTTACACTCCCTTTTATGTTATAGTAAAAAGTATTTAAAAAAACAAAAGGGATTGTAAGCTGACAAAAAGGGAGTGGGAAAATCATCACCCATTAAATAAGGCATATATAATTATTAATTACAAATATTAAACTACAAAATATATATTCAAATAAATAAAATTAAATATATATTTAAATAGTATAGCCGCTCGGCAATACTATTTAAATATATTAATATTAAAGAGTACCGTCGCGCGGCTATACTATTTAAATATTCAAATATATGCAAAAAGTATAGCCGCAAAGCTCTATGCTTTAAATATTCGAATACATTCAAAGAATCTAGTCACGCGGCTATACCATATAAATATTTGAATATATTTAATAGTATAGCCATTAAATATTCGATTATATTCAAAGAGTATGGTTGTGCGACTATACTATTTAAATATTCAAATATATTCAAAGAGTATAGCTGCGCCGCTTTATGCTTTATATTTATTTACTTTTCCTTCTTTATGTATAAACTTCTCTAATTATATCCCTTTTATATTGATCATTATTTAAGCTGTTTCTTACTTGCTACATTCGTCCATTATTTTTATTCAACAAAAGAGTATCTAATCTAAACTTTTTCGGTTACCTAGACATAACTAATCTATATTAAAGAAAAATCTAAAACTGGAAATTCTACAAATCATACTCCACCAAATTGAAGGATGATAGTCGTATTTAAGCAAACTCAACCTCAACTAGCCTATTACTTGTTTGTATAGCTAACCAAACTCATCCATATAGTGGCTTTTCTCTACCAGGTATGATATAAAACCCAAAAACTTCTTTTATTTCTTCATTACATCTGTTGAATTCTCAGAAAATTTGGACTTTGTGGATGTCGTTTTGATCGGCTGCGAATGGATAAATACTGTGATAAGCTTTATATATATTTCTGGATTGCATACCCGGTAGTATGGTGGGCAAATTTATGTGGCCGGCCAGAAGTAGGGTAGAAGTACGCATAGGATGAAATTGTCATGTACAAAAAGATTAGGACAAGATAAACTTCAGATGTCCGGCAAACATCCTCATTGCAGTCCAAGTCCAAGTTGTAATATGACCATGAGTTTTCCTCTACTTCACGACTCAGTGACTCACCAAGGCCCAAGAAAAGCTTTATTATGGTTAGTCTTTCTCTAATCAAATCTTTTATAAAAGTCTCCACATTTATCTCATCTATCTCATTAAGGGCCACCTTTTTTTTCGCTACGTGCACCAATTTTTCCTACATGAAATGGGTTATGTAGACTAATGTTTTTTTTCTGTCACAGAACTCCTAAAATAGAATGTCATGCACTCAAACTTTGTTCCAAACAACATCAAAGATAGCGGCCCTTGCAAGGTCGGGCCAGATAACATGTGCTCGTAAGCTGTTCGACGAAATGCCCCACAGAGACTCGGTTGCTTGGAATGCAATACTTACTAGCTATACCCACCTTGGTTTTCACCAAGAAGCCCTCTCTCTTTTCCACCAAACGAGAATCTCTGACACTGGGCCTGATCACTTCACCCTCACTGCAACTTTAAGCGCGTGTGCTAGCGCATGCAATCTTCGGTGTGGAACCAAAGTTCATGCTTTAGTAACTGTTTTGGGTTACCAGTCTTACTTACCGGTTAATAATTCGCTTATTGATATGTATGGGAAGTGTTTGGATCCCTCTAGTGCTAGGAGAGTGTTTGAAGAGATGAAACTAAGGAATGAAGTAACTTGGTGTTCTTTTTTATTTGCGCAAACAAACTCTAGTCAGTTTGATGTTGCGCGTCATGTGTTTTCTATGATGCCGAGAAGGGTGGAGATAGCTTGGAATATTATGATTGTGGGTTATGCACGGTATGGGGAAGTGGAGTCTTGTTTGGATTTGTTGAAAGGGATGAAAGAGAGTTTGTGTCAGCCAGATCAGTGGACTTTCAGTGCTCTGATGAATGCTTGCGCTGAAGCATTAGAATTTTGGCATGGTTGCATGGTGCATGCTCTTATCATTAAAAGTGGTTGGAGTTCTGCTGCGGAGGTAAAGAACTCAGTTTTAAGTTTCTATGCTGAACTAGGCTTCCATGGCAGTGCAGTAAAGATTTTTGAGTCCACTGGAATCCTAACACAAGTATCCTGGAATGCCATGATCGATGCCTACATGAAACAGGGGAATACCCACGAAGCGCTTCTTGTATTTCAGCGAGCCCCTGAAAAGAATATTGTCTCATGGACATCTATCATCTCAGGGTATGCAGGAAATGGACATGGGGACGAAGCTGCCAAATTCTTTGTGGATATGGTAAGAAGCGGTGTCCAACCAGATGATTTCACATTCGGAGCTGTCCTTTATGCATGTTCAAGCTTGGCAGTACTTGGACATGGTAAAATGGTCCATGGTATCATACTTCATTATGGCTTCCATGCTTATGTCTTTATTGGGAATGGCTTAGTTAACATGTATGCTAAATGTGGGGATTTACAAGGGTCAGTCTGTGCGTTCAGTGATATTTTACAGAAGGATCTGGTATCTTGGAATGCTATGTTGTTTGCATTTGGGTTGCATGGGCAAGCTATCCAAGCTCTACAGGTTTTTAAAGAGATGGTAGATAATGGAGTAAAACCAGATAATGTGACCTTCATTGGCCTGTTGATGACTTGCAGCCATAACGGGCTTATAGAGGAAAGTCGCGTGCTTTTTGAAACCATGGGGTCAGTTTATGGGATTTCTCCTGAAATGGAGCATGTGGCATGCATGGTGGATATGCTTGGCAGAAGCGGTTACTTAGCAGAAGCAAAAGAGCTGGTTGATAAATATTCAGAAGTAGGTAGTGCTGAGACCAGCTCATGTGAAGCTCTACTTGGTGCTTGCTCTGCACAGGGGGATGTAGGATTTGGAAGAAAATTGGGCGAAAGTCTGAAGATATTAGAACCGCATAAAGAGACGAGCTATGTGTTGCTGTCTAATTTGTATTGCGCAAGTGGGCAATGGAAGGAAGCAGAAATGGTTAGGGAGATGATGGTTGATCAAGGGGTGAAGAAAATGCCTGGTTGTAGTTGGATAGAAGTGAGAAACAAGGTAACAGCTTTTGTAGCTGGGAAGCATTCTAATCCATGTATGAATGAGTTATGTAATATATTACATTTCATTAATTTTGAAATGAGGAATCCATGCTTTGGTGACATTGATAATTGAAAGAATTTTACATATCTCAAAAGGTTCTTCATACTATTGAAGATGGATAAATTTTGAGAAAGAGATGACGTCATATTTGAATTGTTTAGGGATTTTAGTTTTTAGTATTAAATGGATGACATCCATACGTGGGATGAAAATGTCAAGTCCAAAAATACAGTAAAACTAATATTGGGCGGTTTTCATATAGGCCAAACCTAGATGAACCAAAATAATTGTCATTTGTTTCGGCTTTGTTTCAAATTAATGTAAAAACTGAACCAAGCTGCCCGTAATAACGCATTCCAATCTCAATTCCAATTCTTGAACTTCCATGTGTTTGCTTATACATAAATAATAAGAAATCATATATAGATATCCGTAACCCAATATCCTCTGAACCAATAGTTGATTCAATTCCAATTCCTTAATTCTCATATTCAAGAGTTCCTTAATTCACGACTTTTTCGTTTCTAGTAAATAAATATCCCCTTTTAAGTTAATTTGAATTGGAGTAGATAAAAGATGGATTTTATTTTAAGTTACTATTTATTGGACAGGAATTAGATCTCTTTTCCTTTTCTTTTTCCTGACAGATACTGAAAAATATCTACATTTTTCAAAAGGTGAAAAACATACCTATATGTGTCAGAAGTGTGCTTTTTCTACTAGATGCACCTGCTAAAGTGTTAAATGCACCTCAGTTTACCCTAATTGGAAATTTTGTGCAACTTATATGGTAATTTTGTAAATTTCACACTCACCAAGTTTGTGGGAGTTTTAGCTATTTGGGATAAGAATATCTGTCTCTATGAAAAAGAAGTTGATAATCTAACTAAAAACTTGCACGCCAATTATTGAATCATATATATATCAAGGATTGGATGTACACGTACGAGGCTGTATCAAATCCTTTTGTGTTTTTTTTTTTTTTTTTTTTTTTTTTGGGTGCACGAATACCTGCATTAGTATTGCATCTACATGTATGTTTCTGTCTTTTTTACCCCCAAAAGAAAAAAAAGTTATGCAAATCATTAATATGCTAAAAAAAAATTCATCCAAGCAGCAGCCAGTTGATTTATTGATTCACTTGATATTAAAATATGTTCTGATGTTCAGGAAGAAGGAACTTTGTCTCCAACTAACTTGTTACTTAACAAATCCACTGATGCTTGTACTCTCTCCAGTGATGAGCTTCTGGGAGACAGGCAGGCCAAGATCAAAGGGTCCCAAGGAGTCAGTCTGTACAAAAGCAAGCAGTAAAATCAAAAAATGAGCCATTTGCCATTTGCCATTTTGCAAAGTTGTCCAAAAAAAACTAATAATCACACGTGAACAAGAAATTCAAATATACCCATTTGATGCCTGACAGCCCAAGGCTTCTTTCGTCGTTGTTCACACGTGAACTAGCCACGAGATTTGTATCCGATTCTTGACAGGCACGGTCTTGCGGTAGCCCAGCCACACTGTTAACCTGCTGCAATAGACATCAAACTACAAGCTGTTTACTTGAACACCTTCAAAGCGCCGAAAAACAGCCTTATCATATGATCTTACTCAAGAGAATATGAAAATCAAGCATTCTACTGATGTTATAGCCCTATTGTAATCAACTATAATTTAGAAAGGTCTGGCAAACAGGTTATTAATGCATCAACAAATAAGATGTACACAGAAGAGACCCTGGAGATTTTGAAGTCTTAGCCACATATAAATGTAATCGATGCAAGACATCTCTTCCACCAAGGAGAAATTTGATATTTCAACCATGATAGGAGCCAATTGATTTTAAAACATGAATCCAATTTAAGCAACGTACCACTCAATTGCAATAACATAATGAAATGTATGAATAGAATTCAGCAAACCTTGGTTGCATTAGGGAACTTGAATACTTTGGAACCAGCATTCTGACTGAAACCTCCACAACTTCCACCAAATCCCAGAACATCCTTTCCCGACGAAGAGAACTTTTGAAAAGGAAATGCATGACAAGTTTCTTCAGCATCCAAAATAGATAAGCATGAGTCATGAGTGGATGGCCCTGGACCTCGAGGGCTATTTATTCGGGTGGCAACAAAACCTTGGTGTGAATCAGAAATTGGATGAGTTGGTGGCAAGCCTGCATTGCTCGCAGTTGATTGTGCATCAATTCGGTTGAGCTTTCCCTGTAAGGATGCTTCAGAGAGGAGGCCACCAATGCTTATAGATGTACAATCAGCCCACAACGCATACGATTTTGAATCACTCTTTAGTTCAGTGGGATGAAAGCCTTCATCTTTCCCAATTTGTTTTTCATCACTGTTATTGCACTTAGCCTGTAAAGATGCTTCAGAAAGTAGGCCTTCAATGCTTACACTGTCAACAAAAAGTGGCGACTGAGCATGGTTGCCATCCATCCTCTGACTATCACCCTAATTACAATAAGAGAACAAATTTCAGAAGATCATTAAAATTCATGAAAGAAAAATGTTGCAAAAATCTCTAAATAAAACTCACATTATTGTATCAACTTAAGTGCAAAACAAATATTCCAAGTCCAAAATGCTCAACAGAACAAATTTTCCATGTCTGCTTTTAGATTTGGAAAAAAAAGGATTGAATAATTATCAAAACTTGTATTCTAAATCCAACATTTAGTCATGTCTATATATTGGCTTCCCAGCTTAAATGCAAATTCACTTGAAATTCATTATCACCAGAAATGAATATTTAAGAAAAATTCAAACTCACCTTAGTAATTTTTAAAAGCTTACCCCATAAAATGTGTGTGCATACATGTGAAAAAAGAACAACCAAACAAACAGTGAAATAAGCAACATTTTACCTTAAGATGAACAGCTCCAGTAGAAATCTTCTCGCTATCTGGATTTATTGTTTCACTTGCATTGATTGATCTGAAATCTTTTCTTGGTAACCCAGTGTGTTTCCCTACTTTATCATATGAATTCTCTGTGGCAGCCCTGGAATATCTCTGCGGCTGATGTAGAAGGTTCAGCGGCGGTTTTAGGTTCAGTAGAGAACCAGCCATACCTCAAGAAACATATCAAGTCAGATAAATAAATTAAATTGTATACTCCCTTCAAGTAAGAGAAATGGGTAAGCCTTATACCTTAAGCGAAAAACTTCAGGGCTTCCAATAGCTGCATAGATAGCTCCTGCACTAATGTCACCATCATTCATTGTCCATCTTCTGTTACTAGACATAATGTCCTGTATCTTATATGGGAATAGAGCTGGCTCACCAAGAGCAACACTTGAACTGCCCCACTTTCCATTAAGATGCTTTAGCACAGAAGAAATCTTCTTCCGTGCTCTAAGAATGAGTTCTAAATATGGATGATGTCCATCCTAAAATGAAATGAAATAAAACAAACTTAGAAATTAAAGTGACAAAATGTTATGATGCAATATATAATGCTGTTCTAAATTTTCAAAGTTTCATGATTTATGAACAACCTTTTCCAATCCTATGCGGGTGCCTTCATTTACAGGGAAAAGCTGCAACTTGATCTTTGAATGAGGGAGAAGTGTTTGCCCTTGACAAAAATCAATAACAGGCAGCCTCTTTGTTGTTTCTGAAGATTGCACACCTCTGTCAGGAAGCTCCAGACACATACCATCAGCTGCACTGTAAGGTGATAAACACTCATCTTTTTCAACCAAGAAATTGCCACCTTTCCCTAAGAAAGATAAGATGAAATTAACTAAAAGGAATGCCCAAGAAAACTGCAATTGAAAGTTCAATAAGCATAACAGCACAAGAAAATGAACAGGCTAATCAAGTCGAAGGAGATTTGTAAAGATTTATTTGTAAGTGGAATGGTATGTGGAAAATCTTCTAGATGAAAGAAAATACAAAAATTTATAGTTCAAGTACCCAGATGAGATATCCTACCTGTTGCTTTGTGGCTGTGCCGAGTAGTTCTCCTTGTAGATTTCTGTTCTCTCATGCTACTTCCTATACATCCCCTGCACTCTATAGGAACCTTGATCACCTTCTTGTTTGCTTGTCTAGAAGCTTTCATGCTGCTTTGGCTTTACTGTACCGTTAGCCAACTGTCACACACACTTCGTCCTTCTCACTAGTGAAACAAGAATGCAGTATGTCAGGCTTCAACAACATTGGATATTAAGAATGAGCTAATTTACTTAAGGAACACAATAATGGCTTGCTTAAAATTTGTTTGGAACCATGGTGAGAGGCCAATAAATAGTTGATTGGTGTGACTAAGCACAAGAACAGATAATGGCTACATTGCCCTTTCTCACAGATATTACCCTCAATGTTTCGTACTAGTTTCTACCCAAAACATAGTTTTTGTAAGAAACACAAAACATCCACATACCCACAACCTGCGCAAAAACAAAACCTAAGACACAAAATAACAGCCAACTAAAATTTTGCACCACACAAATCTTTGTTCTCTGAGATCCAACTGTTCCAAATCAACAATCCGATTTTGAAAATTTTAGAATGCTCCAAATTAAACGAAAAACCTCACTAAGCCTCAAGACCCCAAAAAAAACTAAACTAAATGGGTTTTTTCCTCATACTCTTTGAGAATTTGAGATTTAATCTTTGAAGCTCAAGAACTAAGCTGATAATAACAAACATCATATTTAAACAAAACTTTTCAAGATTTACCAGCTATAAACCAAACCCCAAGTCACAAATTTTAATCATCCGTATACACTACCTGAACTCATTGACTTATTCTTCTTCCTTTGTTTTTGGTGTAAATATATTCTCTATATGGTCTTGAACAACCAATGATCAGAAATCAGTCATTTGATTCAACCTCCGGTGAGCCTGGGTTGAAGGACATGAATTGCATGTATGTATTTATGAGTATATATAATTATATATTCACTGATTCCGGTAATTCTAGGAACTAGGGTTTCGAGCATCACCCATATAAACAAAATGAAGATAATTTCAACGATTTAGAATGAAATATTGTGCCCTAAAATCTCACAATCCAATCCAAATCATAAACAAAAATCAATTGAATCTATAAATAAATATATAGCTCTTGGGCCGATTTATTTCACCAAAATTCGGGGAAGAGAGAAGAACTACAGAGTAGGCAAAGTAAAATTTCAACAACTTGATTGAATTTCTAGACATTACAACCCAAAATGTAAAGGGATATGAACGCCTGCTGCGTACCTTAATCCAAACTGAATCCAAGCATTGAGAAGGAGAGAGAGAGAGAGCGAAAGATTCAGAGTAAAATGTTTGGCGGGAATGAGTCTGCGATATTTTAAAGCTCTTTTTGAGTTTGAGTCGGTCCCGCCTGAAAGCACAAACTATTTTGGGTTTATTTTCCTTTTTCGTCAACATCAATTTTGACCCGTATTTCGGCTAATTTGGAATTTGGATTATCTTCTGGGTTGTTAGGCCTCGTTTGTTATTAAGGCCAGTTTAGTATTAGAGTGCTGCTATTTCCACTTACATGTCCTATTTTAAAGACAAATTTAACCATATTGTAAAATGACTTAAAGGGACTTAAGGAAAAAAAAAATAGAGAAAGAAAAAAGACGTAGACTTCTACGAACGAACCCTATTGTTTGACAAAAAGAAAAAAAACACAAGAAATCTACGACTCCTTGCTCATGATGCCTCTTATGACTTTTCAATGCTTAGAACTTAATTTGCAAATAATTTCCTTCTCTTTTCTATTCATTCAATCAAATTATTTATGAAGAAGAAAACAACAAGAGAATGAACGTTGAAGAGAAAATTTTGGCAAAAAAGTAAGGAATTCCTATTTGAACATAATTTATAAGATCTTTACGATTACTTAAAGCATTGGGAGATGAGTATTTTTTGAACTCTAATTTTTTTTTCTTAAACAAATTAAAAATTTGAAAACTTGGGGATGAATCAACAATTCTATTATTTGGGCTTTGTTGATTACACAAAGAACGTTCCTTACAAAACTAGTTTGGCTGAGAATATTTTTGAGGCATGAGAAGGTGAAGAAGGCTTTTGGGGTTAATGAGTCGTTGATTTTTTATGAATGCAGTGATTTGGTGGGGGGATATTTTGCATGAAGATGTGATGAAGAGTGTGAAATACATGGTGAAAATATTTGATGAAGAAGGACAAGTCTTGTTGTACCATGGGAGGTTTGATTTGAGAGATGGTGTGGTTTTCATTGAGGCAAGAGAGATTTATAGTAAACATGAGAGACGGAGAGAGTTAAAGCGTGAGAGATGAAAAATAAGATACAACAGAAATGAAAGCGATGTGTGGGCCATCAGAGAGAGAGAGAAGACGTGAGCAGAGAGAATAAAAGGAGAGAGGAAATGAGGTAATAATTAAAAGGGTATTTTAGGAATATTGGTGGGTGGAAAAATAGGATTGTGTTTTTTAAAATTTATATGGTGGGTGGGAAGATAAGGTGGGTGGGAAAATAGGACAGGTGAGTGGAAATAGCAGCACTCTTGGTATTATTGTGCTGTAAAAGTAATCGTTGTCAGATTTGTTGTGGAAAAAAAATTAGCTGTGAAAGAAAGCAATTTAGCATTTGGTAAACTTTTTGTCAAAAGTGATGTTGGTACAATAATTAGTTTATGAGTTTTGGTAAATTTTTGTGTTAAAGTGTTGTGAGCTGTGTATAATGACTAAAAGGGGCATTATATTGTAATGGCTTTTCTATCCAAGTGTTTGGTAAAAACAAAAATACTTTCACTTTCAGTTATTATTTTTTTTTTTTGTTACATATATTTCCACCACACCCTAAAAATTATTTTAATCATAAAATAAATAAAGTATCATGTTGAAAATTAAATATTTGTCTCAAAATACTCTAAACAAATGTTTCAAGTTAAATCTAACATATCCAATTAATAATAAATCTAATGTCAATAATTTGGTCAAAACAATATGCATCTTACTTGAGTCTTATGGCTTCTAAGGAGTGTGCTTCAATTGATCCAACCAGGAAAAAAAAAGGAAGAAGAATAGAAGAGAAGGAGAAGAGTGCTTTGTGGCGTCGAAAGGAGAAGACACACGAAGAAGAGAGCGTGAAATCATTTTGGGGTATTTTCATAATTTTATAATTTTTATTATAAACACCTCCTCAAATTTGATTACTGCATAATCAGAAATTGAAAGCAACTCATTAGTTGCTTTCCTTTATTACTTTCTCCCACAACAATTTTTAACAATAAGTGATTTTATCATAGATTACCAAACAGGCTGAACTTCCTAAATTTTTTTAAAAATCACTTATCAACCCAAATAATTAATGCCAAACAGGCACTAAGACTTTCATGAAATGGGAATAGCAGTATTTTGCTATTTTCGGCCAATAATGCTATGATACAAGTGATAACACATCCATGTGGCATAGCATTATTGGCTAGAAATAGCAAAACAATGCTATCACATTGCAACTAAGTTTTATTAATCTACTTAAAAAGTTTATTTTTTTTATTTCTATTTTTGCAATTGTATTTTTTAGATGCTCATTTTTTATCACACAACTAACAAAGTTTCTTTTTTTTTTCCTCGTGACTTAAGAAGTTTCTTTTTTGTTCTTGCAATTGTATTTGCTAGGTGTCCGTCTCAACAATTTCTTTCTTTTAAATGTACATATTACATGTAAAATAACTAACATGTATAAAATTACTTAAACACCCCTTTCACGTCATCAAATTTGATGTAGGATGAAATATGGGTCAATTATGGTATGAAAAATTAATTAATAAAAGTGACTCAAAGTTGGAAGGAAATCATGCAAGAGAGGAAAATTCCAATTAAATGTCAATTATGGCGTCAAGAAAAGAAGGAAGGCATATCGTTGGGATTTTCCTAATAGATAACTTATTCTTCAAAATATAAAATTAAACATTAAATACAAATCTTCATAGAATCATAACTTCCTCAATCAATTAGAAAATCTCAACGATACGCGCTCCTTCTTTTCCTAGCACCATAATTGGAATTTAATTGGAATTTTCCTCTCTTGTACTATTTCCTTCCAACTTTGAGCTACTTTATTTTAATTAACTTTTCGCACCATAATGGACCCATATTTCGTCCTACATCAAAATTTGACACACTTATGGATGGAGCTAACTGTAGGGGGCAATGTGGAACATCAAACCTTGGTGAAAGAGACAAAGTAGGTCACTTTGACTTTCAGCAGGCAACGTGGGATTTGACCATGGTAACAATATATATGTAACTTCCTTTAATTTTGATTTTTCCTTTTAAATGTATCATGTAATTACTATGTGAGTGTTTGACCAACAAAAAAAAATATTAATATAACCCCAATCCTACATCCCCTCTGTTTCACACTCTTTTTCTCCACCGCACCTAAAGAAAAAAAATTAGCATATGTTGGGTTCACATATCGGGATCCTATGAAGAATTTTCTCTCGAGCTACCCTTCCGTTTGCAAATTTTCCCTAAAGCTATGATAACTTTTTCCGTTCTCTACAACCTTATTTTCAAAACTAGGGTTTTGGGAGCGAATTGTTTCATCGTCACCATGAAAGACGCTCTTTCTTTTTTCTCTCCAATCTCTCCAATGTGGCTTTGAGCTCTCTTTCTATTCAATGCCCGATTACCCAAACTCTAAACGAAGCCCTAGGGCTAATGGATGCCTAGACTCTTTGCTTAACAAATTAGGGAGGGGAGGCAACTAAATGGACCGGAATGGAAGGCGATCAGAGTCATTGGAGTTTGACGAGGAACTGAACGGGCTGAACTTCAAGGAGTATAGAAGGCTCAAGAGGTAGAAGCCGAGGAAGATGTTGAAGCATTGTATTTGGAATATGACGCCTAGCCCGCTTAGGGTTGAGAACTATGAATTCGAATTGGAGGACAAGGCTGATGAGATTTCATTGCGGTACGGTGAGGAGAAAAAGAGTGAATCAGGCAAGAAGGCCAAGTCTGAATCGGAGTCGGAAAAGGAGGATTTGAGGTCGAGGAAGAGGAAGAAGGGTTTGAGTTCTAAGCTTAGGGGTAGGAATTCCAAGTATAGTGATAGCGAGTCGAAGAGCAAGAGCGATGATGAATTCAAATCTGATGAAGAAGATGATTGCAGACTGAAAAACAAGTCTAGAGAGAGGAGCAAGAGCAAAGGAGAAATGAGAAGAAGAAGGAAGAGTAGGCATAGCAGTAGCGATTATGATGAGAGCGAAGAAAATGAAAGCCACAAATTCGAATTCAGAGGATCGCTTGAGGTCGAAGAAGAAGAAGAAGCGAAAGTCCCCTAGCCGAAGTAAGACAAAGAAAGAGTCCAAAACGGATAGGGAGAGTTTCGAGTTGGGGAAGGCTTTGGATTCTGAGCTTGAGGCCAAGCATGTTACTATAGTGGAATATGAGGTGATAAACGATAAGAGTAATGTGCAGGCATTGAAGCTGAAAGGGATTTTCGAGGCCCAGAAGAAGCTTGCATTGGACAATGAGCTTGTGGTCAGGCCAATGCCATTGCCTAGAACTGAAGGGCATATTAACATCCTGACCCAATTTTTAATTAATTAATTTTGAAATTACAAATTTGTCCTCATGATAGGGTTATTTTGGTCGCATTTTAATTTGGTAGGATTTTGGGGAAATAGATGGTACTGTTGCGTAGAGCGCGTCGATATGAGTTTGTAGACACATAGTTGGCTCAAATCAGACTTGTAATGAAGAAATTACAATCAATGGAAATGCATTGGCAAAACTATAAATAACTCAAAGTTGAAATTTTAAAAACCCAGATTTTTTTTTTCTTCTTCTTCTTCTCTCTCTCTCTCTCTCTCTCTCTCTCTCTCTCTCTCCCGATATATCTCTCTCTCTCTTGTGGGCAGCACCTCCAACCGGCCCACCACCACATCCAGTCACCTTTGGCCATGAGACCGGTACCAAAATGACCGGCTCAGCTTCCTCTTCTAGTCCCACCCCTCCTTAGCCTCGATGCACCGTTGCCATTGCCAAAAAAGGTAAAAAATGACCTAATTTTACGTAATTTTTCGGAAGCTTATTCAAGTGATTCCAGTTACCAAATTTTGCTAACTTCGTATGCTTTTCTATCCTCTCAATGTGTTCTAGCTGCTGGTTGTGTTATTTAGGAGAAATTTTTACGTTTTGGTGGTGATTTAAGCAATGGAAGTTTTGGCCAGTTTCGGCCTCCGATTCCAGCCACTTCCGTCGACTTTTTAGGGTAGGTCCAAGAACAAAAGTTGCTCCACTCTATGTGCTGATCATGTAGGTATAAGTCTTGACCAGCGGTTT